AACTACAAACAAAGAGGCCGAAAAGCATAAATACGGGAGGCTTCCTGTATGTGGTGCTCAGAGATTTGGAAGAGACACCTCCCTCTGAGCTGCACACAATAAACGACTCCTAATTAATTGTCTTATTAAGGCATCTCTTATCTCATTCAAGGATTTACAATACAACAACATGACCTAATGTATTAGTTTGATATGTGAAAAATGGTATCTCATTGTAGATTAATGAGTATTTCTCTCATTATGAGTGAAGTTTTACATTTTCACATATTTAGAAGCCACTTACATTCTCTTTTCTGTGAATTGAACACTTAATTTTCAGCTGGGCTAACAATCTTTTTCTTGTTGATTGGTGAGAATTCTTTACCTATCAAAGGAAATGTATTTACATTTAAAAAAATATATTTTATTGATTCCCCATTGAGAGGAAAAGAGAGGGATAGAGCTAGAAACATCGATGAGAGAGAAACATTGATCAGCCGCCTCCTGCACAACCCCTACTGGGGACAAACCCACAACCAAGGTACATGCCCTTGACCGGAATCGAACCTGGGACCCTTGAATCCGCAGGCCAAGGCTCTATTCACTGAGCCAAACCAGTTAGGGCTGTATTTACATTTTATAATAGAGTTAAGGTCATTCAACAGATGGATTCTGCTGCTTAAAACCAAAATTTGAAAATCACTGCCTATGCTACGCTGTAACCTGGCCTTGCTAATGAAATCCTGTCTCCTATGCCCTAGGAAACCTTTGTTAGTTAGAGCCCCAATCAGTACCACTTGCCCAGTGTGGCTGAAACTCTAAGCCAGAGTTTCTCAACCCTGACACTGTTGACATTTTGGCTGGATAAATCTTTCTTGCTCAGCGGGCTGTCGTCTGCATTGTAGAACATTTGGCAATATCCATCCCTGGCCTATCTGGGGAATGTTGGTGGTACAGTCTCCCCTGAGTTATGACAACAACAACAACAAAAATATCTCCACATTGTCAAGTATACCCCAGAGAAGGGGTAAGGTTGCAAAACCGCTGTGATTTGAGAACCACTGGTCTAGGTTTTAATATTTCTGGTGGAAGGCAGGCTGCATTACCAAATCGTCTATTTAGTTTAAAAGTCCCAGAGAGCTCAAATGGAGGCAGCTTGATAGGATGCAGAATTCTAAGGTCTGTAGGGAAGTACAACACTGTATCTAATAAAAAAGACAAAATAACATACAGGAAGCCACGAAAGAATAACACCTCTTACATTTGTGTTTATACGCAGGAAATTTAAAAAGTGGTGTAAGTCAGAAAAGTCAGTCAACTGCTCCCACCTCACAGAGTGTGGAGGCTTATTGAGACTGTAGAGCAGGCGTCCTCAAACTTTTTAAAGTGGGGGCCAGATCACGGTCCCTCAGAGAGCTGGAGGGCCGGACTATATGAACTACTAATTCCTACTGTAACACCTCGGCTGCGCTCACTGCCCAAAAAACCTGGCGGGCCGGATCAGACTCCTCTGCGGGCCGAATGTGGCCCGCGGGCCGTAGTTTGAAGACCCCTGCTAGAGTCTAGCCCTCAGGTGGCTATTTCAAAAAATGGTCACTCTTTTTCTTTTTAAACTAAAAATAATGTACTCATTTTAATACATACAATTTTAGCAAGAAACACTTATTTTTAAAAAATATGTATTTTTATTTCAGAAAATATACCTTTTACTGGAATAATGTTTATGAAATAAGGCATTTTTTTAATCAACATAAAGACAACTGTGGCTCATACAACCGCTTCTCTATCATAAATACTGACATCTTTAGTTCACTCACTATCAATAATAAATATATTTTCTGATGAAGACTGAAAAAGAAGTTATTATTTAGCATTCTTTTTTTAAATTTTATTTTATAAAGATATATTTTATTGATTTTTTTTTTAAAATATATTTTATTGATTTTGTACAGAGAGGAAGGGAGAGAGATAGAGAGTTAGAAACATCGATGAGAGAGAGTCATCGATCAGCTGCCTCTTGCACACCCCCTACTGGGGATATGCCCGCAACCAAGGTACATGCCCTTGACCGGAATCGAACCCGGGACCCTTCAGTCCCCAAGCCGACGCTCTATCCATTGAGCCAAACCGGTCTCGGCTATTTTATTGATTTTTTTACAGAGAGGAAAAGAGAGGGATAGAATTAGAAACATCCATAAGAGAGAATCATCGATCAGCTGCCTCTTGCACACCCCCCACTGGGGGGGGGGGCCTGCAACCAAGGTACATGCCCTTGACTGGAATCGAACCTGGGACCTTTCAGTCCGCAGGCTGACGCCCTATCCACTGAGCCAAACCGTTTTCAGCTTTTAGCATTCCTGATGGAGAGGTTGGACAATGGAAAGGTTAAGGACACATCAATAAATATTTCTTGCCCTAGCTGGTTTGGCTCAGTAGACAGAGCGCTGGCCTGCGGACTTAAGGGTCCTGGGTTCAAGGGCATATACCTGAGTTGTGGGCTCTGTTCCTGGTTCCGGGCCTGCAAGAGGCAACCGATCAATGATTCTCTCATCATTGATGTTTCTATCTCTCCCTCTCCCTTCTTCTCTAAAATCAATAAAACATATTTAAAAAAAAGAGAGAGAGAGAGAAACCAATGCATGGGAGAACATACTTGCCAATGTTATATCCAATAAGGGCCTAATCTCCAAATTTTAGAGAACTCATACATCTTAATAAAAGGAAGATAAATAATCCAATTAAAAAATGGGCAAAAGACCTAAATAGATATTTTTCGAAAGTGGACATACAGAAGGCCAAGAAACATATAAAAACATGCTCAAAGTCACTAACCAGTCATCTGAGAGATGCAAATCAAAATGACAGTGAGGTACCATCTCACACCTGTCAGAATGGCTATCATCAACAAAGGACAAGTGCTGCCGAGGATGCGGAGAAAAAGGAATCCGAGTGCACTGCTGGTGGGAATGCAGACTGGGACAGCCACTGTGGAGAAGTGTGGAGTTTCCTCAAAAAATTGAAACTGGCCAAAACCGGTTTGGCTCAGTGGATAGAGCGTCTGCCTTCGGACTGAAAGGTCCCAGGTTTGATTCTGATCAAAGGCATGTACCTTGTTTGCAGGCACATCCCCAGTAGGGGGTGTGCAGGAGGCAGCTGATCCATGTTTCTCTCTCATCGATGTTTCTGACTCTCTATCCCTCTCCTTTCCTCTCTGTGAAAATCAATAAAATATAAATTTTTAAAAAATTACAACTGGAACTCCCATTTGACCCAGTAACCCCACTCCTAGGACTATATCCCAAGAAACCAGAAACACCAATCAGAAAGGACATATGCACCTCTATGTTCATAGCAGCACAATTTATCAGAGCTAAGATTTGGAAACAGCCTAAGTGCCCATCAGCAGATGAGCAGATTAAAATACTGCGGTACATCTGCACAATGGAATACTACACTGCTATAAAAAAAAAAAAAAGAAAGCTCTTACCATTGGCAACAGCATGGATGGAGGTGGAGATCGTCATGCTAAGCGAAATAAGCCAGTTGGAGAAAGATAAATATCACATGATTCCACTCATTTGTGGAATATAATGAACAACAAAAACTAATAAACAAAAATAGATCCAGAGACAGAGAAGCATTGAACAGACCATCAAACCTCAGAGTGAAGGTAGGGGTGGTGGTGGTGGTTGGGAGTACGGGGGAGAGATCAACCAAAGGACTTGTATACATGCATATGAGCATAACCAATGGACACGGACACTAGAGTGGTGAGGGCATGTGCTGGGGTTTGGGGGTGGCCTGGGAGAGGTGGATGGGGGCAAAAGGAGACATATGTAATATACTTCAAAAAATAAAGCATTAAAAAAAAAAAGATTACTACTACTTAGTGGAGTAATAATTACTCCTATTAAAAAAATTGTTTTGCCCTAACCAGTTTGGCTCAGTGGACAGAGCCTCTCAGCCTGCAGACTTAAGGGTCCCAGGTTCGATTCTGGTCAAAGTCATGTACCTTGGTTGCAGGCACATCTCTAGTAGGGGGTGTGCAGGAGGCAGCTGATTGATGTTTCTCATCGATATTTCTAGCTCCCTCTCCCTCTCCCTTCCTCTCTGTAAAAATCAATAAAAAATAAAATTGTTTTTTTTTTGCCTATGTGAGATACGTCATGGTTTTACCTGTATGTTCCTATGAATAGATTAGAACATTTTAAATGTTTATGTAGTTATATATATTTTAAATGGCTACTTAGTTAAAAAAAAAAAAAGCTCTTCCTTAATGCAGTTATATAATGTCCTAAAATGCCTTATTTTTATTGTATTTTTTCATTAGCTCTTCAACCCACTGGGATTTATTTTTAGTGTGAGGTAGGACTCTATGTTTATACGTTCCCATATTAATAACCAGATTTGCCCATACAATTTTCCTAGTACACACAGAATGGATACTAGGTCCCTTATTTTTTTTTTTTTACTCTCCCTTACTGGTAGTGACACAGTCCTAAACATTGGATTCCTTCGCACCAGATGGCTATTGTGCTGCGCCTTGTCCCTTTGTAACTGGACAATCCAGGGGAAAAGAGGTCAGAGAGCCCCCACTCGGTTTGCTCGTTTACAAACGCAGACGGGCTGCCAGAGTGATGGGGGCGGGGGCGGTGAGGAGAGAAGCCGGGGAGAGGGTCCCCCCACCCCCACCCCCACCCCCCGCCCCAGGAGCTGTCAGCGGTGAGAGGACGGCCCGGGTCCCCTTCCTCCCCTCACACTGTCTGCTGCGCCCACCTCGCCCGCGCCCTGGCCCCTCGCCTCCCGGGGCCTCCGCCTGCACCTCCCGCTACGCCCGGGCCCAGCGCGGCGCCGGGGGCGGACGCCGACACTCACGCCGCGAAGCCGGGCTCGGGCTCCCAGGGCGCGCGGAGGGGCTTGGAGAGAGGACCCAGGGCGGCTGCGCGGCGCCCCACGTGACCCGGCGTCCCGAAGTCCCGCTCGCGTGGGCGGCGGGAGCCGGGGAGGCGGGGGCGGCGCGGCGCGGTCACGTGACGGCGTTTAAATCTCCCGCAGCCGGAGCCGCGGGGGCGCCAGAGCCGCGAGTGCGAGCGGGAGCGGAGCAGGCGAGGCGGCGGCCAGAGAGGCAGTTTGAAGATGGCGGACGAGGCGGCGCTCGCCCTTCAGCCCGGCGGCGGCTCCCCTTCCGCAGAGGCGGCCGAGAGGGAGGCCTCTCCGCCGCTCCCCGGGGAGCCGCTTCGTAAGCGGCCGCGGAGGGACGGCGCGGGCCTCGGGCGGAGCCCGGGCGAGCCCGATGGGGCAGCCCCGGAGCGAGAGGCGCTGGCGGCGGCCGGGGGCGGCCCGGCGGCGGCGGCCGGCGGCGAATGGGAGGCCCAGGCGGCGGCGACGGCGGGCGGAGGAGGAGACAATGGACCCGGCCTGCAGGGCCCCTCCTGGGACCCGCCGCCGCCGGACGACGACTTCGATGACGACGACGAGGACGAGGAGGAGGAAGAGGCGGCGGCAGCGGCGGCGGCGGCAGGGATTGGGTACCGAGGTGCGCGGGGCGCGGGCGGCCGGGACTGCGCATCCCTCCTCCCTCCGCGGGCCCCTCCGGGCCGGGGGCGGGCCGGGCCGGGGCTCGGGGCGGGCTCGGCGGCGTCCCCCCTCCCACCGCCGGCCTCCGGGGCGGCCGCCCGCCCGGCTCCGGCCCCCGCTCCCGCCCCCCCCCCCCTGTTTCCCCTCCCGCCGCCGCCGCGGGGCCCCGGCGCCGTGCGCAGCCGCCGGGCCGGGGCACTCGCAGTTGCTTTTAAAATAAGTTTGTTTCGCTTCCCACCCTTTTAGTATATACATACCGCTTTCGTTAAACCTTATTGCTTCCCCTCAACTTCCCGCCCCCCAATACACTGAAACCTGCAACTTTTGCCTACCTTTCTGCAGTTGTCTTTGCAAAATGGAACTCGTGATTAGATATGTGCAATTCGTGATTTTTCTGCAATTCGTGATTTTTTTTTTGGGGGGGGGATCTTGATTTTTACATTTGTTTTAAAGAGCAAAGCTGAATTCTAAACCCATACACCCTCAATTTTCAAGAGCACAGCTGTTTCTAAAGGCCGCCCTGCGGTGCAGTTAGCAGTGGGCACAGGCGAGCCGTGGCGCTGAGTGCTTGACATGAAGAGTGTTTCTCTAATGTTCCAGTTTTCAGACTAGTTCTGGTCCTTTGCTGTGTGCAAATATAACCCCGAGACACGAATTGGCATTTTTTCCTGGCATACTACTGAGTTAGATGTGTGAGTTGTATTTGTCCCGTCACCCCTGAAGTTCCATGTTTTCGATCTGAGGAGTTTCTGTCCTGGGATGGATGTTCGTTTCCATCCGTGTTTGCATCAGTAAATCTAATCGGTGCACATACAGGGCTGTATATAAAGATAACAGGTGCATTAGGGGCTGGATTAGTCAAAAGACCTCATTTGAAGAAAGTTTATTTTTTTATTTTTAAATATATTTTATTGATTTTTGTACAGAGTAGAAGAGAGAGAGATAGAGAGTTCGAAACATCAATGAGAGAGAGTCATCGACCAGCTGCCTCCTGCACACCCCCTACTGGGGATATGCCCGCAACCAAGGTACATGCCCTTGACAGGAATCGAACCCGGGGCCCTTCAGTCCCCAAGCCGACGCTCTATCCATTGAGCCAAACCGGTCCCGGCTCAAGAAAGTTTAATAGGGGAAACGAATTAAGACAAAGCTGTCTTGATATGTTTAAGAGAAGTTGTAAATTGGCTGTAGCTTAATTTGAACTCTTTCGGTAAGTTTTTAGTTGACAAGTTTTGTGAGCTCCCATTGTTTGTAATTGGTAAATTCAGCCTTACTAGATTGCTACTTTTGGGTTTGGATTTAGTAGACTCGATTTATATGAAGATTTGTGATGAACTGAGGCTTTTAGATTGAGGTTAGAATCCCTTCAGGAGAAAAATGCTGTTTATGAACCAACCACATACGATGACCCAGCAGGCATTCTTCTAAATACGTTCTTATGGACTTTGCTTAGAGAGAGAGGGAGGGAGAGAAACATGGATGGGTTGCCTCCTGGGAACTGAACCTGAAATCTGGGTATATGCCCTGACCGAGAATTGAATGTGTCTTACTCAGTGAAAATTATTAGATCATAACCATTACAGATCTTCATACTATTTTATTTTTATTAATCTTTACCCTGGGATATTTTTCCCATTGATTTCCTCCCCCCCCCCCCCCCAAGAGATGGAAGGAAGGGGGGAGGAGAGATATCCATCTATATGAGAGAGACATAAATTGGCTGCCTCCAGCACAAGCCTGAGGATCTCAACCTGCAATAGAGAGAGGGGGATGGGGGGGGGGGAGAAGGGAGAAGGGAAAGGTAGGGTGAAACATCGATTTGTTGTTCCACTTAGTTATACATTCATTGGTTGATTCTTACATGCTCCCTGACCAGGGATTGAACCCACAACCTTGGCATATCTAACCATATCTAACCAACTGAGCTACTGGGCCAGGGCCCAGATCTTAATACATTTTAGATGCAGATTGTTCAGCAGACTGAGTTGCCTTTGGTTTCTTTTGCAGATAACCTTCTGTTTGGTGATGAAATAATTACCAATGGTTTCCATTCCTGTGAAAGTGATGAGGATGATCGAGCCTCACATGCAAGCTCTAGTGACTGGACTCCAAGGCCACGGATAGGTATGGTTCACAGCTTCAGAGTAAATGTTGACTTCTTTGTGTTTTGTTTTATGCTAACTAAAAAGGTAATTATCTGCCTCCTTATAACCTGGTGATGAGATTCCTTAGGTGCTCGCTAAGATCTAGGTTTCTAGGAAAAGTCTAGTGCTGCTTCTGTTTCTGTTTTTAAACAGCTCACGTCCAGGAAGCTGGCCTCTAGTATTTCTCCAACAACCCGGTCCTCATACCTCAGGTCCTTGGGTTCTTTTCACGTTTCCTCTGTGTAATGCTCTTCCTTCCTTTTTTTCTTCCTTTTCTTTCAACATACCGCTTTTAAAACAAGATGTTTTGTTGATTTTAGAGAGACATAGAGATATAAATCTGCTTTCTCCTGCACATCACCCACTGGGGATTGAGCCTGCAACTGGGAATGTGCCCTGACCGGGCATCGAATTGAGACCTCCTGGTTCATAGGTCGACGCCCAGCAACTGAGCCACGCAGGCTGGCTGAATCTTAACGTTTTTATTGTGTTTCTTATATTAGAATATAAGCCCTATTGGGGACAGATTTTTTCTTTTTTTAACTGATTTGTGGGCTATTTTGTCAGTTCCTAGGCACATAATTTGTGCTCAGTAAGTCTTTAACTATGTTGATGAAATGGGAAAGTACAGGGGTCGGCAAAAGTAGCTTTATAGTTGTGATACAAGTAAATAATACACTAATTAAGAATAAACTGCGTTTCGAGTATTCACAATTGGAAATGTCCCTTAGGAATAGAGAACACTATTAGGTATTTATACTAAAGTTATAATATGACCATCTCGAAAAATGATCTTTTTCTTAATGTGCCTTCATTTTTGATTGCCGTATTTTCTGGCGTATAAGACGACCCCCTAATTTTACAGTTAAAACATAAGTTTAGGCCTACATTCACTGTATAAGACTACCCCCCACTTCAAAGAAAAGACTTACTTTGCCGTCAAGATCTGCAGGTAATTTTTGTGCAATTTTGATCTTTTGCCCCCGATTTTCGGTTGACTTTTTTTCGTTTCAAAAGTTGTCTTATACGCCAGAAAATACAGGTATTTAAATGCAGTGGTGATTAGTTTCTTAGTGTCCATAGTATTACTGTATTTTTTGTTTTCTCAAGTTAGAAAACTGATTTAAGAAATGTTAGGGTAAAAAAAATTAGTGCTTAAAACATATCAGCATTATATGTATAATTTTCAGAGATTTGTTAAGATCAAATAACATTTTTACTGAAAAAAATTTAAAAGATATTAGTTATGTATAGATTTCCTTAGAGAAGTATATAAATTTCCTTTTCACTTATGTCTTTTTTAAAATTTATTAATTTGAGAGAGAGAGAGGAAGGTGGAAAGCAAGAGAGCGAGAAACATCAGCTTGTTCCACTTATTTATGCACTCATAGGTTAATTCTTGTAAATGCCCTCACCAGGGATCAAACCTACAACCTTGGCGTGTTGGGACAATGCTCTAACTAAATTGAGTTACCTGGCCAAGGCTTTCCCTTATGTTTTTACTGATAAATAGTATGGGCTTTTGGGACTCATAGGATCTTTCCTATGTTGATTTGTAGAATACTTTTGTACATACATGCTCCTGTTACTAATTATGGTATATATTTCTGGATTTTTATTTTTATTTTTTTTAAATATATTTTATTGATTTTTGTACAGAGAGGAAGGGAGAGAGATAGAGAGTTAGAAACATCAATGAGAGAGAGTCATTGATCAGCTGCCTCTTGCACACCCCCTACTGGGGATATGCTCGCAACCAAGGTACATGCCCTTGGCCGGAATCGAACCCGGGGCCCTTCAGTCCTCAAGCCGACGCTCTATCCATTGAGCCAAACCGATCCCGGCTATTTCTGGATTTTTAACGATGAAAATTTAACTCTGGTAATTAATTTGACTCTTTTTAAAATATATATTTTTTATTGATTTTTTTACAAAGAGGCTAGAGAGTTAGAAACATTGGATGAGAGAGAAACACCAATCAGCTGCCTCCTGCACACCTCCTACTGGGGATGTGCCCGCAACCAAGGTACATGCCCCTGACCAGGAATCGAACCTGGGACCTTTCAATCTGTAGGCTGATGCTCTGTCCACTGAGCCAAACTGGATAGGGCTTGACTCTCAAAATATTTTGTATTTTGTATTTTATATTTCAAAGGGCAGACCCAAATTCTTGACACCTTAATTTCATTGGGATATATAGCATTAGTTTTGAGGATGCTGTGAAAATGAAATATTTTTATATTGCATTTTATTACTTTATAAAAAAAAACATAAAGATTATTAACTCATTACTTCAGAAAATAAGATTTTAAATTAATTGGATGTGAATTTGATGTAATTCTTTGTCCTCTTAATATAGGTCCATATGCTTTTGTCCAGCAACATCTCATGATTGGCACAGATCCTCGAACAATTCTAAAAGATTTACTACCAGAAACAATTCCTCCACCTGAATGGGATGATATGACACTGTGGCAGATTGTTATTAATATCCTTTCAGAACCACCAAAAAGGAAAAAAAGAAAAGATATTAACACAATAGAAGATGCTGTGAAATTACTGCAGGAATGCAAAAAAATAATAGTTCTAACTGGAGCTGGGGTATGTAACATGTTTAAAACATGAGTAAAAAAGGAGGAGGTGGTAAATATTTTATCTTACGTATTTCCTATTAAACGTTTTTCTGGTGTAGAATTTATCCTTTCATGATAATGGCAATTATTTGTGTTTGAAAATTGCTAAAAGTTGAGCATAGCAACAGAGGCTAAATTGGTTGTTTTTAAAAGCCTCTCCAGCAACCATAAAAAATTTGCTTCTATTTATTTATACAGTAGGCAAGGGGAATTAAGGCAAGATTTCTACCTGCATTATACCACACCTCTAAAGAAGATTAGGAGAATTCCGCTCGTGTCAGAGTGTGGTGGAGAAATGGGGTTTTTGTTCCATCTTCATGGGGAAACCAGGAACCTAATGGATATTCACAAAGAACTTGGTGTTAGGAAGGTAACAGATTCCTGCCTCCCATCCATTTAAATGAAGGTGATGTGATTGAGGGGACTTGACAATTTTCATTTGCCTCCCCTATAGGGTCACAGATAACTAGCTACATAAGGGTATTGTGTTTTCTGTGTTGAATACAGAATATGTTTGTTAGTGACCAGAGCAATGCTGGAGTAAAATTCAGTTCTGTTTTCTGTCATTTTGAGTTAAGGATGAGTGTCACTTAATCCTTTTTTTTCCTTCTAAATATGTTTTTATTAATTTCAGAGAGGAAGGGAGAGGGAGAGAGAGAAACATCATTGATGAGAGAGAATCATTGATTGGCTGCCTCCTGCACACCCCCCACTGTGGATCAAGCCCACAACCCAGGCATGTGTCCTGACTCCTGGTTCATAGGTTGATGCCCAACCATTGAGTGAAGCGGTTAGACAGCTTAATCTTAAATGATCAAGAATAGTAATGCTTTGCTCTCAGACATGATTTAGATCAAGTTTGACTTAACTCTGAGGTCAAAGTGGAATCACTTTGGTAAAATTGTGAGACAAAAAGATAACACTCAAACCTCTATTTGAAAGCATGGTGTCTAAATCTATTTTTAAAAAAATATATTTTATTGATTTTAGAGAGGAAGAGAGAGAGAGAGAGAAACATCAGTGATGAGAGAGAATCATTGATTGGCTGCCTCCTGCATGCCCATACTGGGGATCGAGCCCGCAAACCGGGCACGTGCCCTTGGCCGGAACCGAACCCGGGACCCTTCAGTCGGCAGGCTGACGCTCTAAATTGAACCAAACCAGCTAGGGCTCTAAATCTGTTCTTAAGAAGTGAAACATTGTAGCCCAGCTAGCCTGGCTCAGTGGTTGAATATGGACATCTGAACCAGGAGATGATGGTTGATTCCTAGTCAGGGCACGTGCCCAGGTTGCGAACTCGATCCCCAGGAGAGGGCATGTAGGATCAATGATGGTCTCTCATTAAAGTTTCTATTTCTCTCTCTTCCTCTCTGAAATCAATAAAAATAATTGAAACATTATACAACATAGTATTTTTTTAAACATATATATTTTTTTTATTGATTTCAGAGAGGAAGGAAGAAGGGGAGAGAATAGAAACATCCATGATAGAGAATCATGGTTCACCTACCCCCTGCAAATCCCCCACTGGGCATCAAGCCCACAACCCGGCCATGTGCCCTTAACCAGAATCAAACCCGGGACCCTTGAGTCTGCAGGCCGACCAGTCGCTCTATCCACTGACCCAAACCAGCTAGGGCTACAACATAGTATTTTAAAGAAAATATAGAAATTTAGTTTTTTGTTGTTCGTTAATCCTCACCAGTGGATATTTTTTCATTGATTTTTGGAGAGAGTGATGGGAGTGAGGAGAGATACACAGAGAGGAAACACTGATTGGTTGCCTCCCTAGTGGAACCTGCAACTGAGGTATGTGGTCTTGACTGGAATCGAACTGGGTACTATAGGCTGATGTTCTATCCACTGAGCCAAACCAGCTAGGGCTAGAAATTTAGTATTGAAGTAGTAGGTCCCTGACCAGATGAGAGATTTCTTTGGAAACACTTCACTCAATGGAAGTTGTTCCCTGCTTTCTGGTTAGAATAATTTGAAATGAATTTCTATTGCTTTAATTTGTTGATTAAATGCTTTAAGATTCAAAGTTTGCCTAACTTAAAATTCCTTACCCCATTATGAGTGGAATGTGATGGATTTAGTAATACTGTTTAGGGGTTGTTTTATTTCTATTTTAAGTTGGAATAAGGTGGTATTTCTGTTCTCTAAAAGAAGTTTAAAAACTAAATTATTTTTCAACTTCTTCCTAATTGTGTGAGAGCAAAAACATACTGGTAGAAGATTTAATTGTACAAATTATGCCATGTATTTTGCAGGTTTCTGTTTCTTGTGGAATACCTGACTTCAGGTCAAGAGATGGTATTTATGCTCGGCTTGCAGTAGACTTCCCAGACCTTCCAGATCCTCAAGCAATGTTTGATATTGAGTATTTCAGAAAAGACCCAAGACCATTCTTCAAGTTCGCAAAGGTACTATGAACCCTTCTAGTTGTCAGTTGACCACCTCTAATGATGAAGTATTTGTTCATATTAAGGTTTCTTAAGCTTAACATTCATTGTCTAATAAATTGGGTATTAGTATTGCAGTGTGGAGTTACAACATTGAAACAGTCAATTTAGTAAGAATTCCTTTCTAGAAGGGATTGTTATTTTTCTTCACTTTAGGGTTGAGTTTCTTTTAAAAGAAGAGGCTATTTTCTCTTTTTCAAATTTCACTGCATTAGTGGCCTTTACGTTGTCCATGCTTATTTATTTTTAATATGCTTTTTTAAAAAATATATATATATTTTTTTGATTGCAGGAAGGAAGAGGGAAAGAGAGATAGAAATATCAACGATGAGAGAGACTCATTGATTGGTTGCCTCCTGCATGCCCTCAACTGGGGTTCGAGCCTGCAACCCGGGCATGTGCCCTTGACTGGGAATCGAACCCAGGACCCTTCAGTCTGCAGGCCGACACTCTATCCACTGAGCCAAACCAGCGAGTGCTTAATATGTTTTTATTGATTTCCGAGAATAAGGGAGAGGGAGATAGAAATCTCAATGATGAGAGAATCATAATCACTGTCTCCTTCCCACATGCCCATTATTAGGGATGGAGCTCACAACCCGGGCATGTGCCTTGATTGGAATCAAACCATGACCTCCTGGTCCTTAGGTTGATGCTCATCCACTGAGCCACACCAACCAAGCAGATTTTTAATATTTTCTTATGGGTTATGAAGATTTTAACATCTACTTTGGTATGCTTTGTATTAGCAGGTCTTAACACATATGAAATGTGCCTGAACATTCGTGATTAGGGGTGGAGAAGATTCTAAGATTGCATTTTAGTCAATAGTGCTCTATTCTGCTCTAGTCTTTAGAGTTGCACGGCCCAGTTCAGAAGCCACTAGCCACATGAGGCTTTTGAGCACTTCAGTATATTGAAATGTGATGTAAGTGTGAAAGTCCACCAGATTTTAGAAACTTGGGAGGAAATTATATAAATAAATATCGGTTACATGTGGAAATAATGATACTTTTGATACTGGGTTGTAAATAATGAAAATTCCATGATTTTAATGTAATTACTAGAAAATTTAAAATTACATACATGGCGTGATCACATTTCTATTGGGCAGCTCTATTCTGGAGTACAAAGCTTGATAATACATCATGCCAGTAATTTTCAACTGGTGTGGTTCAGTGGTTAGAGAGTCAGCTTTATCTCTGCCTTCACTCCTCCATCCTCTTCCCGTCCCCCCACGGGGGGAGGGGGGGGCACCAAAGGGTCCCAAGTTTGATTGACTGTCCAGGGCACATACTGGGTGCAGATTTGATCCTAACCCATTCTGGCCCTTTTGGGGCACATGTGGAGGCAGAGAAATCAAAGTGTCTTTCAAACCTTCCCTGCCCGCACCCCCCACCTACCTCCCTACACACATACACATTTCCCCCCCCCCCCCCCCTCTCTCTCTCTCTCTCTCTCTCTCTCTCTCTCTCTCTCTCTCTCTCTCTCTCAAAATATCCTCAGGTGGGGCAAAACTAAGAATGCCTGACTAGTCATGGGCCCTGACTCTTTTCCCTTAGATTGTCAAACAAAAAAATGACAACATCCAACACAACAATAGCCATCCAGTGTGGATGAATCACACTGATAATCTGCTTTCTTTTGTCAGATCGGCAAAAATACATTTTTGATGTGCCACAGAATTTTAGTAATGAGTTTATGAGTGCCATGAATGAAAAAGGTTGCTAATTGCTGCATTATGCCAAGCTTAAGATATTTTAATGAGAAAACTTTTTTTTTTTCCTCCACAGTTTAGTCTTATGAGAAGAAATTATAAAATTGCTATTGCTAAGCTTCAGTATTTTGAATGGGTCTTTTGTGTTTGTTAGTGACTGTTTTTAGTGAATCTAGAAGTTAAAGGAACCTAGATTTTAATTAAAGGGGTAATCTCCGTTACTTTCAAACCATATTGTCTATTTACATAACTATAGGAAAAGCTCTGCTAATTTAAATGGAGTTTAAATTGGTTGACTTGTTTTTAAAGAAATAGTCTTTTGTTTCATTCAAGTGTGACTATAAATAAAAATTAGAGGAAAATGGAAATTATATTAAAGTTTCTTGAATATGACTTAATTGCTAAAACTGAAAACTGAATTTGAGAAATTTTCAGGCTAAGAGAATTTTTAATTTTTCTATCAACTTGAACCTAGTGAAAATTTTGAACTTTTTACTTTGTGTCAGCATAAAGTAATGATGTACATTTATATGTACCCTTAAGAACTGACACCTGGTTTACACTGAATTACATAAATAAAGTTAGTTTCTTTACATTCTCTTTTTTGTTTTGTTTTGTTTTTTGTTTTTTGTTATTTAATCGGGTTCTTATAAGAAATTCAGAACACCAGTTTGTGAGGATAAAGCCCATTGGTGAGAGCGAACGTAGAGCGGAGGTAACCCTGGAGCTGAGGGACAGCTTTGATTTTTATTCTCTTAATTACAAGATTTTGAATTAGTGAAGACTTACTGTTTCACTGGTGCTAGTAGTACTAATGCATGATTTTGCAGATCAATAAAATGTCACTTAGTTACAGTCTTCTTGAATTGAACCTAAAATACTAGCATTATGTAACAGTTCTAGTTAGCAGAAATGAACACTTACAGGTAACTAGAAATTACTTTGATCTGTCTTATTTCTCATTATTAAAGCTTGATTCAGTAGCCCATTCATATAATGCTTGTAAGACTTGCTGTAATTTGTGTTCTGAGAGGAAAGAAAACATATTGCCCAAACTAACTTGTCAATTCCCCTCCCCCCTTCACTTCCCTATATGTACTTAGTAAAGTTGCTTAGTAAAGTAGTCACCTGACATTTGGAAAAATGTGAAAACTGAGAATAGAAATAGCAAGTTGAGGAAGATTGTAACCCTAGTTGTCTAATATACAAATTGGGTATTCATTGGTACCTTAACTAGCTTTGACATGTAAAAATTGAAAGACAATTCAGAATTACAATGATAAAACACAAAAGTATAAGAAAATTTAAAAGTGTGCTTAACAGAAATCTAGACAGAACATAAGAGGAAATAACAATGTGTTACAATGTTCTCAACCACTGTATAGGTTATATGCCGTCTGGGAGAAGAAAGTGTTGGAGGGTGGTATTTTTCACTTTTCTATAAGCTTTAAGATTCTGTGAATTTTTATTAAAAAAAAAAGTTCACCTATAAAGTTTTATTCATATAAGCTTCATTTTGCTTGGTTATTTTTTGTGAGCTTTCATTTAAGGTTTGTTAAAAGCTAAATAACCTTTATAACTATTATTTATATAGAAGTGTTGCACTTTAATTTTTCCATTATGAACTGCCTAAAAAGAAAACTTCCAGTTGCTAAAGCAGCACTTAAAATAGTAAGAGGTAGAAGAGGCCGAGTTAATATCGGATCTAAAAAAAATTAATTGGGGAAAAGGTTAAGGAGAAATAAGTAAGAATAAGGAACAAAGTATAGTACCCAAAAATGGAGGGAGAAGGTATGCAAATATTGTTATATTTTACGAGATTCATGAAATATGTGAATAAAACACTAATAATTAAGTTTTTCTACCAGTTGCTATAGTAAGCAGAAAGTTTGTTAAATGGTTTATAGTTTTTGCTAGAGAAAATGAATGTAATATGGAGTTATGTTATTGGTGAATTTTTGGAAGGAAATAATTTCCTTAATGCATCAAGCCATCGATGCACATAATTATTGAGAAGAAACTTTTATAATTGTATTATTATATTATTGTATTATTTTATAATTGTACCACAATATATTTAATCTTCTGTTAATGCACATCTCAACTTTTTCAGGAAGTTAAAACTATTAGTTTAATAGAAAAAAAAGTGTAATGATTGCTTTCTACAACTGGCCATGTGTATATTCTTGAATCACCTGATTGTTCTTAGATATTTTTTCCCAATGGGATGTTTTTCTTTTACTGATTTATGGGAACATTATGTATTTTTTAAAAATATATTTTATTGCCAAAACCGGTTTGGCTCAGTGAATAGAGCGTTGGCCTGCGGACTGAAGGGTCCCAGGTTCGATTCTGGTCAAGGGCATGTACTTTGGTTGCGGGCACATCCCCAGTACAGGGTGTGCAAGAGGCAGCTCATTGATGATTCTCTCTCATCAATGTTTCTAACTCTCTATCCCTCTCTCTTCCTCTCTGTAAAAAATAAATATATTAAAATATATATATATATATATATATTTATATATATATATATATATTTTTTTTTTTTTTTTTTTTTTTTTTTAGAGTGGAAGGGGAGAGGGATAGAGAGTTAGAAACATCAAGCAGATGCCTCCTGCACACCCCCTACTGGAAATGTGCCACAACCAAGTTACATACTCTTGACTGGAATTGAACCTGGGACCTTTCAGTCCACAGGCCGACACTTTATCCACTGAGCCACTAAACAGGTTAGGGCAACATTATGTATTCTTGAAGAATGTTTTTGTTAGAAGGTGATTGGAATTCCAGCCTTCAGTAATCCCATGAAAATTTGCAAAATTAAGTGTACTTAGACTGCTCTTAGTTAGATATGAGACTAGTTAGCAGTAACTAACAGAAATGATGCTTAGCCTAAAAGGAGAGTATGAAGCTTGAGGTGTAGGGATCAAACATTGAAAAGGTATTATTAGACATACGTCATACTTTCGACAAATAATTTAAATTTAAAAAAAAGTTATTGCATAGTGACTAAGAGCCACACTTTAGTATCAAAACTGGGTTTGAATGACAGCTCTGCTACTTACTGGTTCTTGTGACTTTTGGCAAGTGACTTCTTTGCTTTGGTTTTTTTCATCTGCAAAATGGGGATATCTATCCTACAGTATGGCCAGCACATCTTTTCTTTATGGGTCAGTGAGTAAACGTGGTCTGCTTTGTGGACAACATAGGAGCTTAGTAACATGTTCTTTATTTTTCTGAACAACCTTTTAAAATGTAAAAATTCAGTCCTCAGCCTAGTTAATACCATTATAATAAATTGCTCGTTATGTTTAGTGCATATTAAAACTTCATTAAATGGTAAATTAATAGCTCGACTAACTGAAATTCTTTTGTGTTAGGTTAGTACAGGAATTGGCAAACTATAGCCTCAGTCCAAATGTAGCCCACTGCCTGTTTTTATAGAGCCCTGAGCTAAGATTTTTCAATGGAAGGGGGAAAATGAAGTTTTTTTTTATGGCATATGAACATAGAAAATTCTCATGTTGGTGACTGTAAATAAAGCTCATTGACTTGCATATTGTCTAAGGTTCTTTTGCACTACAGTGGGAGATTGAGTGGTTGCAACAGAGACCATATGGAATCCTTAAATATTTACTGTTATCCTCGTTTGGAAAAAGTTTGCTGAATCTTGAGTTCCTTGGGGAATTAGATTTAAAAAAAAAAAAAAAAGGCAGTTGAATTTGTCAGGTGACTAATAATTTGTAAGTGCTGATTAGATAAGATATTGAGTAGTCTGTTCAAGTGTGGTTTTGTGGAATGAATAAAATAAGGGAGTATGAGGACTTTTCTAACCAGGATCGATGTGTATGTGGTGTGTGTGTGTGTGTGTGTGTTTCCAGCGATAGAAATTTTATGTTCTAATTTATTACCAACTCTACTTAATTGTCTCCCTCTGCTCTGAAGGAGGAGGTGGATATCAAACTTGGATGCGTCCTTTTATTTTTGAGGGGTTGCAGTTAACATCCCTGCCTTTGACTGGGGTCTCACTCAAGTTGCTAGAAATTTTTAGATGAAGCCAAGTAGTGATCATTTTTGGAGGAGAGCCATTATTTGTGCATGAAACCTCAGTATGGCAGGTAGTTCTAAGCTTTTAACTTGGACCCTCCCTGTTGGTTCCTTTGAACAATTACTGAAGTGTTTGCATATTTCTAAACACAGTTATATGTAAGCAACAGGCCTTTTTAAAAAAGTGCTTTGAGCCTTTGGTCCCAGATCTGCTTTCTGTCATTGGGGAGGATCCCTTTGGCACTAACAGATTGGCCCGTTCCACATGGTTGGTTTCTTGATAGGACTTGAGGATGTTCAGACATGGTCCACTACATATTTGAAAGAAAATAGACGAAAAGTTAAGATTCAAATTGTAGCACATAAAATTTAATCATATAAAAAGAGTTTCATAAATGATCCCAACTATAGGAATTGAATTTTAACTTTAAGGGCTAAACTACCTTGAACTGTTACGGTTTGGACGTGAAGGGAAATTGGAGTGTAGAGCTGAAGCTAGTGTCTGCATATCTTTGGGCCTCTTAACCTTCCCCTTTAAAAGAGGGTTGGAGATAAGGCACATAAAAGTTCATTTCAGGAGTCTTGGAGTCTTGACTCTTACTCCCTGACCCTGCTCTGGAGGTCATTTATTCTTGTTTTGTTTGGCATGCTGTTAACACTTGTCTTCCTTCTTTAGATGTTATTTTATTTGTTGCCTAACATATTCTAATGTTTGTTAAAACACTCGAACAGCTATTTATTTTATTTAAAAATATATATATATTTTATTGATATTTTTACAGAGAGGAAGGGAGAGAGATAGTTTGAAACATTGATCAACTGCCTCCTACACACTCGCTACTGGGTATGTGCCCACAACCAAGGTACATGCCCTTGACCGGAATCGAACCTGGGACCCTTGAGTCCGCAGGCTGACGCTCTGTCCACTAAGCCAAACTGGTTAGGGCCAGAGGGAGCTTTAATAAAATACAATGATGTTTAAGCCTCTATGTAAATATGAATGTACTAGAAGAAAGCATCTTGTAGCTAAAACAATGGTTAGTATAGCACAATCCAATGGTCTAGAACACAAAGTAGCTTTAAGTTTTTTATAAACATTTGCTTTATTAAGCTCGTTACTTCTTTCTATATGTGCAATGCCTATTTTGTAAATTTCAAAGTTCATGAAATTCATGAAAAAAATTTGAATGTGAGGCAGATTTTTAGATTTTTGTGTACAGTTTTCAGCAGCATATGGATGTGTACATGATAGTTATAGGTTTACTTATTTTATCTGAAAGGTATACCTGTAGATATTTTTTTTAAATTGAAATATTAAATAGGTTAAAAGTAGCCATCTATAATCTTATTCAACATTTTTGTATATCAGAAGTGGAAGTTCCCCATCTGTTTATAGCTTGTTTGAATCCTTCCTGACTTGATGTTTTTATGAACATATCTATATGCATGTGCATATTATTTTCATTTTTGCTTAATAACAAAACAATAAAAACAAAACACACCAGTGACCAACTTGCTTTTTCATATATGTCATGAACCATATTTCAGGTCAGTGCATCTAAACCTCATATTAATTTTAATGGCTGCATACTCCACTATTATGGATGGTATCACATATCTACAACCAGTCCCCTATTGATGGACATATGGTTGTGTCTAGTTTTTTTGCTAGCATTGTAGTAGGTGAGAGGCTGGAATGAATGGTAAGGAAGTAGAAGGTAGCATTACTACTTTAATGAAGAAACTTCCTTTGCCATAGTCACTTACTAAATGAAATATAAACACTGTCAAAAGTTGAGAGGACCAAAATTGATAATTTTTCTCTGATCTTTTTGCCATGTGTATATCTGAATTCTTTGTTTTTAAAGAAGAAACAGCATTGAAGCATTATTTGGGGGGAAAAACACACACACAAAATCCAGCAACTCAGCATTCATGAGCAACTCTATACTATACCAGTATGTGCCTGTGCAGTGGAAGGAAAACAATTTTGGTAAGGAAATAAAACTTTAGCTTTAAACTTCCAACAGGTTGATATTTATAATGAATGATGAATAAGAAATTTTTAATATTCTTATGTTTTTAAAAAAGAAGTCACCATACCTTTGATACCTTTAATTTCAATTTAAACTATTCCCCCTTTTGCTTTAAAAAAACAACAACTGAATTTGCAGCCAACAAAAGTTAGATATATTCTAAGGTGTATTTCTTCTGACTTTTATTAAAATATCTGTTAACATTTATTAGAGATGTTTATGGGTCATCTTTATCTTTTTCAAGGGGCCAAGATCACTAATTGCTGAGTTTTATACATATAACAGCAACAATCTTTTTGTAAGTGTGTGTTGTACCCTTCTAGATGCTTTGAGATGATCATGTAGTTTTAAAATTATTTATACATGGGGCAGTAACATTGGTAGTTTTTTTTGTTGTTGTTAAACCTAAATATGTGATATCTGTTATATTTCTTAAATGTAATCTTTATTTTTTTTTGCCTTATATAGGAAATATATCCTGGACAATTCCAGCCATCTCTCTGTCACAAATTCATAGCATTGTCGGATAAGGAAGGAAAACTACTTCGCAACTATACTCAGAACATAGATACACTGGAACAGGTTGCAGGAATCCAAAGGATAATTCAATGTCATGGTTAGTAAACTTCAGAATTGATTTCTGTTATTTAGTAGTTTTGTTAATCCTAGGAAAAATTAGGATTAGAAAGTAGGCTACCATCCAGGAATGGAGATTGAATTTTATTATTTCCTCATACTATCTGACCAGTTGTAGATAAAATAAGAAAAGTGGGATGCAAAAAAACCCCTCTGAAACTTGAAGGATTGGCCTTGACACACGAGATGTGAGAAATCAATCTACTTTTGGATTTTAGAAGATGTAGCAGTTGCATTTTTTTACATTCTTTTAAGTAACCTTTTTAAACTTACAAAAGTCATCTTTAGATTATGAAACTAAAGGAATTGAGTTGTTCTGATGAACAGTATTTAGAAATTACCATTTAGTATAACAAGTAAGAGCAGAACATTATGTATCTGAATTGTTTTTAAAACAACTATTTAGGCTAAAGTAATACTGTACAGTGTAACCTTCCAACTCGGTAGCATTTTAGACCTGGAAGAGTTGGTTTATTGTATTGAAAGTAGCAGCTTAGGGGAGTCATCATAGTATCAACATAACATCAGTTGAGGATTGGATTCTCTCCTTTTTTATTTTTATTTTTTATATATATTTCCAGTACTAGGTCAAACAGGAGTGGTGATCCTTACTTATTACATCAGTATTTTAGTTACTTATATTCTAGATTCTCCCATGGAGTCTTTTAAAATTTTAACATTTGATAAAAATGTAGTATGTTTAATAAATGGAAACATTTCATTAATAAAACACATACATGTTTTTTTTAGGTTCATTTGCAACAGCATCTTGCCTGATTTGCAAATACAAAGTTGACTGTGAAGCTGTACGAGGAGATATTTTTAATCAGGTAATTTATCACCCATATTTTAGGAATTGTGCATGTCTCTGATTTTGTTTTAAATGTATTTTTATTGATTTCAGAGAGAAATGGAGAGAAACATCAGTGAGTGGAGTATCACTGATAGGCTGCCTCCTGCACGGCCCCTCCTGGGGTTTAAGTCCACAACCAGGCATGTGCCCTGACACTCACCATTGAGACACACGGGGCCAATCTGTTTCTTCTTTTGCGTCCCAGACCATTTTTGTTTTTTCCCTGAAAGTATTTGTGTGGCACAGGAAGACCTAGGAAGTGAGTGTTATCATTGGGAACTCTGGTGGAAAACACAAGGAAACATTCAGGCTTCTTAATGTCGGAGACTAAAATAAAAATCCAGATCATAAATGAGGTGTTGCTATATTAGTTTTTCTTCATACTCTCCTTATGTAATGCCCTGACTCAGAATTTTAAATTAAGGTGGTAATTCTTTAAACATTAAAAAATGTATTGTAAAAGGTATTTCGTATATGCTCATTGCCAAAACACTACAAGAAAATATGGCAAAGAATAATCATCCAGAAATAAATTCTGTTCATTTACCTGCATATATAGATACTTAGGAGGATAGTGTATTAAAATGGGGTCATTGTATCTTTTTTATTTTTTAAATGATATCCTATCTAATAAAAGAGTACTATGCAAATTGACTGTCACTCCAACTCACAAGATGGCTGCCCCTATGGGGACATAAGATAACCAGCAGGGAGGGCATTTGAGAGGGACCAGGCCTGCAACGGAGTCAGTTGGGGGCGATCGAGCCTGCAGGGGAGGGCAGTTAGGGAGATAAAAATCGATTTGTTGATCCACTTATTTATACATTCATTGGTTCATTCTTGTACGTGCCCTAACTGCGGATTGAACTTGTAACCTAGGCTTATCAGGGTGGCTCTAACCAACTCAGCTACGTGGCCAGGGCATAATCATTGTATCCTACAAACTTACTCTTGTTTTATTTTTTTAATTTTGTTTATTGATTTCAGAGAAGGGAGAGGGAGAGAGAGAAACATTAATGATGAGAGAGCATCATTGATTGGCTGCCTTCTGCGTGCCCCATACTTAGGATAGAGCCCGCAACGCAGGCATGTGCCCTGGCCAGGAATCAAACTGTGACCTTCTGATTCTTAGGTTGACGCTCAATCACTGAGACAGACTGGTCGGGCAAAACTTTTTAAAAGGATTAAGTCTGTGTGTGGATTGTGAATATATGTGTGTACATACATATATACACATGCCGGTTTTTTCATTTACTATACAATAAACCTTTAGTATCAAATGTAGGTTTGTACAGAAGTACAATAGCATACACAGGTAGTAGCAACATTGTATTTCTTTTATGTTTGTGACAATTGACATTCATGTTTAGGTTGTACCCAATTTCCCTATTTTATTTATCGACAACTTTTCTGTTTTCTTTGTTGATTTCAAAACGAATTCTTAGCAACGGTGGAAATATTGACTGTTTCTAACTTGGGCTTTTCCTTCTCTTCCCCACCTCAACCAAAAATCTGAAACATGCAGGTGGTTCCTCGATGTCCTAGGTGCCCAGCTGATGAACCACTTGCTATTATGAAACCAGAGATTGTCTTTTTTGGTGAAAATTTACCAGAACAATTTCATAGAGCCATGAAGTATGACAAAGATGAAGTTGATCTCCTCATTGTTATTGGGTCTTCCCTGAAAGTTAGACCAGTAGCACTAATTCCAAGTAAGTTGGTGATGATTTTTAGAGAATATTTCCTTATATATTGCCATGGGTTATGAGTCTGTACAGTATAATAGACTCCAGTGATCTTATTCTGTTTCTGGTTAAAGAGTGATAAAGAACTAAACCTTATATTTTAGGTGACATTCTGTTCGTGTTAATTTGACTTGGTGGGATGAGCAGGAGATGAGATGGATGTCAAAACAGAAATAATGTCAGATTCTAATATACACGAAAAATGTATAGACAAAGGGAAACAGTTCAAATTAAGTTAAAATTTCTAGCTTGATAGAAGTATAATGTATTATGTAAGATAGAATTTGGGGAGTCAAAAGAATTGGCTTGTTTTTGTATGAATAATCATGCCTTGTCACAATCATATGTGGATTTACTTTATCCGTAAGGGTGTGTTGTGTGTATAAAAATGCTCAAGTACAATTGAAAACCCTATTATTGTCACGGGGGAAGATAGAGGGATACTAACTCAGTAGTATCAGGTATGCCCTAAAAAATGAAGAAAGGAGGAGAGAATATTAAACCCTTCATCAGAGGATTAAAGTAGATCCCTATACCAGCAATCAAATAGGCAGCCAGGGTAAATGGAGGGAAGAAACAAGGATTTAAACTCCCTAATTCTGCATCTTTTTCCTACCCTATATGTAGTTGCTTTTAGCAGTATAATTGTCTTCCCTACATAACTGAGAAATCCTACTGCTATACTATAGGATAATTTATTAAATAAAACATGAAATTTAATGTATAAGCTCCTTTATTTTTTAGTTTTCTTTCCTTAAAGTCAAGGCAGAGACTTTTTAAAAATAAATTGACTTCAGAGGAACATTGATTGGTTGTTCCACTTATTTATGTATTCATTGGTTGACTTTTAAAACAATCTATGTTTTTATTGATTTCAGAGAGGAAGGGAGAGGGAAAGAGAAACATCAATGTTGAGAGAGAATCATTGACTGACTACCCCCTGCATGCCCCATATTGGGGACCCAGCCCATAACCCGGCCATGTGCCCTTGATCAGAATCAAACCTGGGACTTTACAGTCCATAGGCTGATGGTCTATCCACAGAGCCAAACTGGCTAGGACTTTCCCTGGCATTTTCAAGCTGGTGCCTGTGCTGGAGCTTAGAACATGGGTCCTTTAAGACAGTGGTTGCCAACTGGTGGTCCACAGACAGTCCAGTGGATGGTCCAGTCTGTTCTGAAAGGTTGGTGACCACTGCTTTAAGAGCAGTACCTTTGTCCTCAAAATTTCTGTCTCAGATCCCTGCTGATTTTCACAGCCAGATGTTAATGGGGACTCCTCTTCTGTCACTGGTGCCTTGGGCTCTGGAGCCCGATCTGGGGCTGAGATCATCCCTGGCTTTTCAAAGGGGAGCTCAGCAGCCAAGATAACCCTCCTAGGGCACAGGATCTTCCTGTTCTGTGTCTGCCCTTCCTTCAGTCTGTGTCACCTCTTTATATCCTGAGCTATAGGAATTCCGTTAAGCTAGTCTTCAGTGATAGTTCTCAGTAATTTAGTTGCAGTTTTGATGTGATTATGGGAAGAGGAAAGCTCATCTTCCAGAAATCCTCACACTCTTTATATTAGGAGCTATTTCAGTAAAAATAATGATCACTTGCTATGTGCCAAGAACTCTTCTATGCACTTGAAATATATTAACTCATTTAAATCCTTATTGCAACTTTGTGGAAAAGTACTGTTGTTATTCTTATTATATAGACAAGGAAATTGAGGTACAGAGTAAAAAAATCCAAAAAAATTGCTAAGAGGTAACCAGGTGACAGAAGCAGAACCTGAAATTTTATGAAAGATGCTTTTTTACTCATTTGTTTCCATGATAGCTTTTTATTATTTTTTATTTTTTAAATATATCAGAGAGGAAGGGACAGGGATAGAGCGCTAGAAACATCGTTGAGAGAAATACATCAACCAGCTGCCTCCTGCACACCCCCCACCGGGGATGTGCCCGTAACCAAGGTACATGCCCTTGACTGGAATCGAACCCGAGACCTTTCAGTCCACAGACTGACACTCTATTCATTGAGCCAAACCGGTTTCGGCTGTTCCAATGATAGCTTGATGAAATGTCAATGGCTGGGTTAAGTGGCCAGTTTCTTTTTTGTTATTAGGAACATGTTACATTTTTGCAATAGTGCATTTGTTGTGGTTTTATTAGCTTATCTCCTTTTTCTAAATCTTATTTTTTTGCCCTATTTTTAGGTTCCATACCCCATGAAGTGCCTCAGATATTGATTAATAGGGAACCTTTGCCTCATCTGCATTTTGATGTGGAGCTTCTTGGAGACTGTGATGTCATCATTAATGAATTGTGTCATAGGTTAGGTGGTGAATATGCCAAACTTTGCTGCAACCCTATAAAGCTTTCAGAAATTACTGAAAAACCTCCACGAACACAAAAAGAGCTGGCTCATTTGTCGGAGTTGCCACCCACACCTCTTAATATTTCAGAAGGCTCCAGTTCCCCAGAAAGAACTTCACCACCAGATTCTTCAGTGATCGCCACACTTTTGGACCATGCAGCGAAGAGTAATATTGATGATCCAGATGTGTCTGAATCAAAAGATTGTATGGAAGAAAAATCACAGGCAATACAGACTTCTAAGAGCATTGAAAGTGTTACTGAACAGTTGGAGAGTTCAGATTTGAAGAACATTAGCTCCAGTACTGGGGGAAAAAATGAAAGAACTTCAGTATCTGAAACAGTGAGAAAGTGCTGGCCAGCCAAGATTGCAAAGGAGCAGATTAGTAAACGGCTTGATGGTAAGAAGCTATTTTGGAAGATATAATTATTGCAACAAAACATTTGCAAGAAATGAGCAACTTTGGCAGCTTTATTCATAGGATAGCTTTATGCAGCTAAATGTAACATTGCAAAGTTGAGTAGTCAAGCTAGAGAAAGATAAACATTGGTATGTTACATAATATGGGGAAGAAATAGTGTTTGAAGAATGCTTAGTACTTTTGTTACTCTAGGGCACATGTGTCAAACACAAGGCCCGCGGGCCAAATCCGTCCCGCCAGGCCTTGCAATGTGGCCCGCACCGCGCTGTCATCACTGCACTCTGCTGCGTTTCCATCACAATGACAGTTTATGACTGTTCAGTAAACCATTCGGCCCGCGATTTAGGCTGGATTTTAGATTTTGGCCCCTTCTCTGATTGAGTTCGACACCCCTACTCTAGGGAATAAGAAGGTAATCAAATTGAGAAGGAAATTGGGAAATATTCAGTGCTCTGCCATGTCAGGTGAGATTTAGTTGGTAGAAATTACTGAAATTCAGTGCTTATTGTGGGTTAGCTGCTTTATACATAGTATCTGACTTCAATCTCATGAGGTAGGAGCTATTATTACATCTCTCTGTTACAGTGGGAAATCTTGACTATAGAAGTTAAATACCCGAAGAACTGAGATTGTATTCCAGGCATGTCCCCAGAGCCTGCCCTTTAATCACTGTGCAGTGTTGTGCCAGATCTAGAAAGCATCTGATTCTTCTCCACGAAGTTCTAGGGGCCCAGAATTTTCGGTAACCACCGGAGGCTCGCCCCAATGACAGTGGCCAGTGCTCTGCCTTGGTCAGGTGCCTTGGTTTACCTGCAGGTTCCACCACTTGGTCTATTTGCATATTGGGGTTTTATATAGATAGGAGATGAGGAATAGCATCTCCCCTTTTGCCATATGGAAAATCTACAATTAGTGTTAACATAGGTGAAGTCACTTTTTGGGAATCAGTGTTTAAATCCAAGTAAATGTAGTGAAAAATGTTATTTTAAGAAACTAAACCTAGCTGAAACCAGTTTGGCTCAGTGGATAGAGTGTCAGCCTGCAGACTAAAAGGTCCCAGGTTCGATTCCGGTCAAGGGCATGTACCTTGGTTGTGGGCACATCCCCAGTGGGGGGTGTGCAAGAGGCAGCTGATAGATGTTTCTCTCACATCAATGTTTCTAACTATCCCTCTCTCTTCCTCTCTGTAAAAAATCAATATATTAAATAAATAAATAAATAAAACTAAACCTAAACTAAATTTGACTAAGCTGGGACATTTAACTTTCATAGTATTCATAGATGCAAATTAATGCTCTTAAGAGTAGAACATCTCTCTTTTGACCTAGGATCCATAGGTCAGATCTCATACTGTCAGTGCAAATTTGGGAGGAATTGAGGAAGAAAGGTTAAAATCCATTGCTAGATCGGTGCTTCTCTCTCACTTCAGTGTGTGTGAGGACTCAAAAGATTTTGGTTCAGTAGGTGGGAAGTATTGGGCCTGAAAACTTGTAACAAACTCATGTGATGCCAGTGTCTACAGACTATGAACAGGTGGTGAAGCCGTATTAACAAACTAAATGGAAATGTTTAATAAAGATGCTCTGAGACCTAACCGGTTTGGCTCAGTGGATAGAGCATCGGCCTGTGGTCCCAAAGGCTCCCAGGTTCAATTCTGGTCAAGGGCGTGTACCTTGGTTGCAGGCACATCCCCAGGAGGGCAAGTGCAGGACCCAGCTGATTGATGTATCTCTCTCATTGATTTTTCTAATTCTCCCTCTCCCTTCCTCTGTATAAAAAAATCAATTATATATATATAATTTTAAAAAGACGCTTTGAAAGCATATATGCTTTAGAGAAGTTATATTCAATGAATATGAATGAGATATCTAATGTAGACTAGACTGAGTACTTGGTTTCATCTCATCAGATCTATTAAAATTGGATAAGAAATCTTTATTGAACACAGTTCTCTACATCCTATATAAGACCCTAATATGCAAATTGACCAAATGGTGGAAGTACCAGTTGCTATGAGGTGCAACTGCTGGCAGATGCTGAACACAGGAGCTGCCCCCTGGTGGTCAGGCACTCCTACAGGGCAAGTGCTGCTCAGCTTGCAGCTGGCGAGCACAGCAGTGGTGGCAGGAGCCTCTGCTGTGGGTGGGTGGTGAGGAGTGAGGGGTCCAAGACTACAAGAGGGATGTCTGACTGCTGGCTTAGGCCCAATCCCCAAGGATGGTGCTGGCTGGGCTGAGAGGAACCCCCACCCCCCACCCCCCACCCCCCCACCCAAATCCGTGCACCAGGACACTAGTTTTTTCATAATTTACTTTACTAGGGTTAAAATTTTTTTTTTTTTCCAGATTGAGGAAATTGAGGCAGAGAAATAAGTAAATGCCCAAATTTACAAAGCTCTGCTAAGTTTAAAAAATACTAGTGATTTATAAAGCTCTAGTGGTTTTTAAAAAAACAAGCTAGACTTGGTGCTGGACATCCAGTACTGAGTCTAGCTTTTTTTTTTTTAATCACTAGAGTAATAACAGCTTCTACTAGTGATAATGCAGGTAAAAGGCAGAGCTGGAACCTACACACTCCATACTGCCCAATCAAATCAAAATAATTCTCTCTCTCATTCTTTATTTCAGGTAACCAATACCTATTTTTACCACCAAATCGTTACATTTTTCATGGTGCCGAAGTATATTCAGACTCTGAAGATGATGTCTTGCCCTCTAGTTCTTGCGGCAGTAATAGTGACAGTGGGACCTGCCAGAGCCCGAGTCTGGAAGAGCCGTTGGAGGATGAAAGTGAGATGGAAGAGTTTTACAATGGTTTGGAAGATGACCCTGATATTAATGAGAGCGCTGGGGGAACTGAATTTGGAGCTGATGAAGGTGATCAAGAGGAAGTCAGTGAAACTATATCTATGAAACAGGAAGCAACAGACATTAATTACCCATCAAACAAATCATAATGTAATAATTTTCCAGGTACAGGAATTGTTCCACCAGCATTAGGAACCTTTAGCATGTCAAAATGAATGTTTACTTGTGAATACGATAGAACAAAGGAAACATGAAAGATTTAATATTTATAGACTGGTAAAATAGATTTTTTTTTTTTCATGGATAATTTTTAACTTCCTTATTTCTGTACTAGTACACTTAACACTAATTTTTTTTTTTTTAAAGAAAGGTACTAAGTATCTTTAACCTGCTCTTGGTCAAGACTTTTAAAGGTTCATTTGTATGATACATCCATATGTATATATAATTTTTGTTTATACATTTTTGCCTAATAAGTTTCAACATCTTAAAGTTTTCAAAAAGCCATTGGAATGTTAACATAAAAGGGAACAGCTTACCTAGACCAAAGAACGGTATTTTCATTTTTATTTACTATTTCTTTGTAACATTGAATAGTTTGAAAAACTCAAATCTCTGTTCTGCTAAACTTTTGATTCTTTATTAGCACAATTACCTATTTTTAAACACTGGCATTTTCCAAAACTTGTGGCAGCTAACTTTTTAAAAATCTCATAACATGCAATGTGAGTAGAAGGAAGTAAACAATATATGGGAGAGCACTCAGTTTTCTTTGCTTTTTAAAGTAAGACTTGGTGCTAAGTTTCAGGAATGTTGTATTGTTCAAATGAAGATGGCTTTTGTACTTTAATGGACATGTAGAAATGTCTATATTGGCTTATAAAAATAACCTGTAAAACAAACAAATGCTTTGGAAATGTTTCAATTGCTGTAGAAACAATAGTGCCTGCCTGGGCCCCCTTAGTGTTGAGAGTATTTCCCATTGTTGTTTCGATACCTATCACTGTGGTAGAGCTTACATTGCTTCTTTTCCACAAGTATTAAACTGCCAAGATGTGAATATGCAAAAGTCTTTATGATCTATAGTAATGGTAACTTTGGGGAGAGTGTAATATGAACTGTTGCTTTTCCACAGATGAGGAGAGTGACGGGTTCCCTGATTAAAGTTCCAAAGTAATGATAATTATATATAACTCAGCCAGTAAATACATGTCTCCTCCTGTTGGGAGTATTTGGTGTAATAAACACCAAACTGCTAGCCTAGTACTCTGGAGATGAACATGATGTAACTTGTAATAGCAGAATAGTTAATGAATGAAATGAATCCTTATTGTGTCTTCATTTAAAAGCTTAGCCTGCCTTAAAACTAGAGATCTACTTTCTCAGCTGCAAAAGCTTCTAGCCTTTCAAAAAAGTTCATGCTTTATAAAGTTGCACACTAAATTTTCCAGACTTTCCCCAACATTACTCCCAAATTATAAAGTATTCCTATGTTGCTTTAGTATTTATTACAACTTTAAAAAAGGGTTTGAAATATAGCTGTTCTTTAAGCATAAAATACCCAGCTAGGACCATTACTGCTAGAGAAAAAAATTTTATTGGATGGCCACTTCCCTACTTAAAAGGTGTTTCCATCTGAATTTATTTGGCTACACTAAAGAATACAGTATATTTAGTTTTTCAATCGCTTCTCGGCCTTTTGGCTAAGATCAAGTGTAGTTTTTCATTTGCATGATGTGTCTGTGCTATAGATGATATTTTAAATTGAAAATTTTGTTTTAAATTATTTTTACAGTGAAGACTGTTTTCAGCTCTTTTTATATTGTACATAGTCTTTTATGTAATCTACTGGCATATGTTTTGTAGACTGTTTAATGACTGGATATCTTCCAACTTTTGAAATACAAAACCAGTGTTTTATACTTGTACACTGTTTTAAAGTCTATTAAAATTGTCATTTGACCTTTTCCCCGTTAACTTACATTGTTTAAGTTATAAAACCTTAAAATCTTGCAGCTTTGTACAGCTTTCAGGGCTATGTTAGATGCTTTCTTTTCATAGTAAATGTCTTCATTCAATTTGTAACCACCTAACCAGAACAATATTTAAGCAAACACTGATAGTACTGACTGTAGCAATTAGTGCATCACCAGAAGTTTCTAAACAATTTCAGCCATTCGGCTTAGTAGGTAAGATGTAGGGGAAAAGCAGGGCCTAGGAAAAGTTGACATATAAAGACTTTGGGCGGGTGGTGAGGTGCAATAGGGAATGGTGCAAATGGAGTGAATTCAAGAGCCCGTGTTAGAAAAGCTAGGTTTTCTGTGAAAGTTAGATCAAACCACACTAGGATGAATTTTTTGGAAAACCTACTTAGTCCATTTAAATCCTACAAAGTACTACTGCTTAGGAGGCCAGGAATACACACACCCCTTAAAACCCTGCCTGCAGTTTTCTGCTCTCATGTCTGCTTTTCTCCCCAACAAACTTTTGAATTAAAAAAAAAAAAATTACTCTGCTCTGCTATATCCTACTTGCACAAGAAAAATTACCTGCCAAGTCCCACCCTTAGATATAACTAGAGGCCCCTCATCCTGGCATGCAGGATTGGGCTGAAACCAAGGGTTCTGGATTGCAAGAGGGCGCAGACCAGGCTGAGGCACCCCACCCCCTTTGCAAGACGGGGGCCAGGGCGGGATGTGGGAGGTTGGCCAGCCAGGGTGGGACTGTGGGAGGGCCTCACGGTATGTACGTCCAGGTGGTCTATTGGCCAGGAGAAAGCTAACCTATTGGTCCGAGTGTCCAACCACTGGTGGTCAGTGCACATCATACTGAGCAGTTGAGCTATCTTAGCATGTCATTAGCATTTTATGTTTTGGTTGTTGAAGACCACAGACATTTAGCATATTAGACTTATTATATAGGACTAGAAGCCTAGGCATGAAATTTGTGCAAGGAGCTCAGCTCTCAGGCTGCTTCTGGAAAGTTGTTCTGGTCATTCCGTTTAGCATATTTGCTCTTTATGATATAGGATAATGTATGTGCCTTCAATCAATGGTGCTTCACATCATCCACCTATTAAATATATGGTTACTTGAATCAAATCTCAACTCCTATACCTGTAATCTAAAAGTGTGGGGAATTCTCCCCTCAGATATACAAAGTCTGAGTGTTAAACTATGTTGCAGAAATACGGAGACAGGGTCTATTTCCCCCATTTTGAGTGGCTCTCAACAGGAACTACTGAGTATCATCTCTTAGAGATAAGATTTAATTGGTATAAGTTGTGGCTTGTGTACAGTATTAAAAAGTACACCCAAATGATTGAAAAGTATAGCAAGAGCCGAGAAAGGGAATACTCCCTTCCCAGGGGATGGTCTAACGGGGCAAGGCCGACTTAATAAAACAGGCAGACTTCCCAATTTATCTCTAGAAGTAGTTCAGTTGTCACTAACACGGGAGGGGAGCCAAGGAAATAGGAGTGACTTCTTTAGTCAAAGGAGAAAACTAGCATGAGTTTGGATGGCCAAAATGCGATGAAAGAGGCCGAGGACAAGAGTGTGCCTGTCCCCGTTGCCTCTTCAGGGGAGGGCTGCCCTACACATACGGTGTACTTTGATTTAGGATCTTTTGTTAAACTAAATGCAGGGAAATCATTTAGAAAGGTGAAAAGTCTGTTAGTAGAAACGAACCCTAATGAATGGTCTTCATGAGTGAACCTTTGAGAAGGCTGGGGCTTTTGATTTAGGTCTCCGTTTAAAAATCTCCATTCCAGTTTTATTTCATGCCCATTTAAAGGAGTGTCTTGGTTCTACTGACAGTCTAAACAATGGCTAATGGTTAAAATTAATAAAGTTAGGAGCTACAAATATTTCAAAGTTTAGTCAATTCTATAATCATGGGTCTTAAAATTTAGTGAATTCAGTATCTGCCTTCTTCCTACTGGTCTAGAAGGCTCAAAGTATTTTTTTGTGTTTTAAAATGGAAATTTGAAAAACTGTCAGTTATATTTTAATTTTCTACCATGAATATCCATGTTAATGTTATCGTATGTCTGCAGAAACAGAGGAAAATATCAGACTTACCCAAATTAAACCTTGTAGAGTTGTGTTCCCAGATAAGATGCCAGGTGTCCTTGTTAAAAAATTTGTTCAAGCCCTAGCTGGTTTGGCTAATGAAGAGAGTGCCAGCCTGTGGATTGAAGAGTCTTGGATTCGGTTCCAGTCAAGGGCATATGCCCAGGTTACAGGCTCGATCCCCAGTGTGGGGCGTGCAGGAGGCAACTGGCCAGTGATTCTCTCATCCCACTGATTTTTCTATCTCTCTCCCCCTCCCTCTCCCTTCCTGAGATCAATAAAAATATACTTTAAAATTCTATATAATAAAACCATAATATGCAAATTGGCAGAAATAACCGGTTGCTATGACATGCACCGACTACCAGGGGGCAGACGCTCAATGCAGGAGCAGCCCTGTGATGGTCAATGTGCTCCCACAGGGGGAGCACCACTAATGCAGAAGCTGGCTCTCACGAGTGTGGAGCCTCCCTCACCTCCATGGCAGCACTAAGGAGCAGTGAGCCAAGCAGTAAGGAGCAGTGAGCAGGTGGGTGGTAAGGAGTGAGAGGGTGCAGATTAGGCTGAGGGACCTGCACCCCGCAGTGCGCGCGCGTGCGTGCGTGCGTGCGTGCGTGCGTGTGTATGTGTGTGTGTGTGTGTGTGTATTCCCCCCTTCCCCCAATGAATTCTATTGATATCTATTGCTCCCAAATGGCTATTTCACAGATCAGCTTTATAGCATATGTTTTTAATATGAATAACCACTTCCCTCAGGAATGGATGTTCAGGGAAACTGTATAATATCAGGTACATGGAATGATTTTCATAGGGAAGAATGCTATTTTAAGGAACATTATCTTAGTTGAAAATATTGTTTTCAAGGCTGCTATCTACATAAAAAGACACCTATAACCACGAAAAGTTTTTATGTTACACAACTGAAAAGTACAAGTCCATAATCTCTTTTCCAAAAATCCGGGCTCATTTGCATTTTGGAATTATGAAAGTTAAGTTTTTTAATTATATTCTTGTTACTATTATTTTTAACATTTTTATTGATTTCAGAGAGGAAGGGAGAGGGGGAGAGAGATAGAAACACTAATGAGATGAGAGAGAATCATCAACCGGCTGCCTCCTGCACACCTCCCACTGGGGATCGAGGCCACAACCCAGGCACGTGTCCTTGACAGGAATCGAACCCGGGACCCTGCAATCCACAGGCCAACACTATCCACTCAGCCAAACTAGCCAGGTGAAAGTTAAGATTTTTGAAAAATACATATAGGGGTCGAAGGCAACATGTAAATAAAACAATAAATAAACACACTAATATTGCCACAATGAAATGTACAAAAAGCCCCACTTAATACCTGCCATAAATAGCCTCCACAATTCAGATTGGGTTTTGCTGCAAAATGAGATAAGCACGGTTTTTCAGTTATTTTAGATTTTGAATTAGAACTCTCAGACTTGGGGACCTCTGTAAGATAAGACAAATTTGATGGAAATGAGAACAATCCAAAATTTAAGAGCCCTGCCTTGAGACATCACTTTTCTTGAAGAATTTTGAATCTTATATGAGAACCACTGAACATTTAAATATTAAACCAATAAATCTTTATTATTTCAACAGTTTTCATGGCATATTTTTATAAATTTAAAAAATAAATATTTGCATTATAGCAGAAAGTCACATGTGTTGCATCAACTGTTACAATTTAATGACAGGAGATAACTAAGCATCAGCACCATAAAACTAAGATTTACTTCCTAAAAATTCAAGGAAACAGTTCTAAAGCACTGAAAATTCTGACTATATACCAGCCTGCAGCATCAATAGTTTTGGAAACTACTGTATAACTCAGTGATT